TTTTTTTAAGGTCTTAATAATGTGAAAATGAATGTGGACTTTTTTCTTAGTATCTGTTGCAAACTTTTGTGAGTTCCCCCTAAACACTGGAGTCAAGCATAGCAAATTTAATCTCTCATTTCCAACTAACTACAAGCCATTTCTCATGTCAGCTTCTTCAGGAAATGAATCCTTGAAGGAAAACTCCAAAAGAGCAACTTAAAAGAATTGAGCCATAAAAGGGACAAGTTTTGGCAATTGCTGAAACTTGTCCTTGGTTGTTACTGTGAGAATCAAGTTTCACCCCCACTCTCACGACAAACTTGAATGGACCTTTGGTCCTTGAATTTCACAAATCCCCAAAACTCTAGAATAAGAAACAGTATCCCAACTTAAAAAATGGAAACTGTAATCAATGCTAAAAATCTCAGTGGAAATTTCCACAAAGCAAACCCTTTTTTCATATTTTCAAAGTCCACGTGAAAACTTCACTGTCTTCCAAACCTTTGAACTGAGCGGATCTCGGGAACTCGGCAAATTTGCAAAATTATCAACCCTTTGCAAAATCAACAAAATATACCATCTGAGAATAAGGTGTTTCCAAGCACCCCAGTTGCAGCCCAACCAAATTTGTGTACATTTTATTTCCTAACTTCAACTTACCTTCAAATCTCTGCAACAGTATCCAGAAAAGATGTCAAGGGCACAAGTTTATTATTTAACTTTAGTCCTTCTCATGTATGGAGATGCCAGAGCATGTGTGGAGGGTTCCCTGATGTATTTTTTTCCATTGATGACATAATTTCAAGTTTTTTAAATTTTAAAAATTGTAAATGGAGTCAAGCATTATATGACACAATTAAAATTTTGAATTTTCCAGACCTGAACATAAATCAGAAAAGAAACCAGCATGCACCCCATCAGGATGCCAAGAGCAAACCACCCAACCCATCAACAACAACTGCCTCATCATCATCCACAACCAGCACCACCACCACCACAACCACCTCAGCTGCCAAAGGTACCACCACACAAGTGGACCTAGACGGACTAATGAAAATAGCCAAGGAACTGAAAGCCAAGCAGCAAGACAACAAAAGGGCAGCTCAGAAAAGCTCCCCCACCAGCACCTCATCAACCACCACCACCAAGAGTGCCTACATCCCCAAAGAGCTCATAGACAACCTGGTCAACAACAAACTCAGTTCCAGTCTCTTGGACAATCTCATAGACTCAGCAAAGGAAGCCCTGAAGGCCGGACAAGTGGAACACGCCTTGCGAGACGTTGCCAACTCGGATTTCGAGGTGTCCCCTAAAGCCAAAAATACTAAACCCAGCAGCAGCAGCAAGAACACCGCCGTGTTTCAGCCCATCCAAAAGATAATCTATGAAATGCAAGACGCCATCAATGCTCACAATGAACCACCTGTTGACCAGATTCGGTACTTTGCTCCACCACTGCCCTATATTGGCAGCAGCCAGGAACAATTGGGCACTGATTACCCTTACCAGGGGCTCGACCAGTTGAACGCTGGTGAGTATGTTTGTCCGAATAATTATTTTTCACAGCACCACGAGGTGACAAGGAAAACTCAGCACCACAACGCAATCCACCACCTTACATACATTTCCCCCATCAAATTTGTATTTTATACACACAGAGTATCACAATCACCTCAGCAACCAAAAAAAGAAAAAAAGAGAGAAGGAAAAGGACACCTGTTGTTTCATTTCACGCGGGAATTGCGGTGGACACGAAAAGAAAACGCACACAAAAATGTGTATACCCCTGAGTTCCTTGACACTCTCTGGTGTTGGCTGCGGTAAAAGAAAAAAAAAAGAGAACCATGTGCACCAATAAATGAGTGTTTTATTGTGTACCATATCGTCACTTCCCTTATTGCAGTCAAACCCAGAGACACACGATTTGTAAACAGGCACAGCAGTGAAGAGTATGAGGACCCCAAAGATTACGTTCCAGGTGGACACCAGCAGCCACCAAGCTATGATGAAGTTCCAAGGGTACCAGAGGAGTATGTCCCTCCTCCTCCTCCTCCTCCTCCTCCTCCTCCACCTCCTCCCCAGGAGGCTCCTCCCGCTGACTATGATTCTCCTCCAGTTTACCCTCCACCACCACCACCACCAGCGCCACCTGGACCACTTGGGGGTGGGCCAGATGACTATCCTGAGCCGCTTCCAGGGCCACCTGAACCAGCGGGCAAACCACCTTACCCAAGTGATGATGAGGACCATTCTGCAGAAATGAGAAGGTTATTATTTGTTTACACTCTTTTTTTTAAAATCAGGATTGTTGCAGGAAGAAAAATTATGTTCTTGAAGATTTGAGAGAGAGAGATTGCCACAATAAAACACCACTATCAAAGTGCTACTGATACATCTTATGGTTCATGTAAATACATAATCTCATACAGTTGACCCCTGCACAATGAGCCTCCTACACAACATATTTTTGCATAACAGACTGTCTCTGGACTCTGGAGGCAGTTTCCCCTTCATTGCAGAGGAGTAGAGCTGACTAAATCTGCATAACAGATTTCTGCTAATTTAAAATTAATGGTAATCAGTAAAAATTTTGATTTTTAAATACCGTATTTACTTGAGTACCACGCGCCCTTGAGTAAGGCGCGCAGAGAGGCTTTTGAGTTGGAAATTTTGCTAAAATCTTATCCCCAAGTAAGACGCGCACCCCAATTTTTAGTGAATCTGAAACCACAAAAATTTGCAAATAAAAACAAAAAAATTGACTTTATAGGCATGAATTGAACAAAAATCTCATGAATTTTCAACTTTTTCAGTAAAAAAACGTTTTCTTGTTACATTTGCTCAAAATATCTCCATTATAATCAAGTATAATGCACACATAACTTCCTGAAACTTCTTGAAAATTTTGTACCCGCTTATGACGCGCACCCCTTTTTTTCTTCTGAAATTCAGGAAAAAAGGTGCGCGTGTTACTTGAGTAAATACAGTAATTGAATTTGAATAACAGACTTTTCACTCAACAGACTAGTCTGCAGCACAATTGAAGTCTATTGTGCGAGGGTTGAATGTACAGTATTTGCTAAATGAAGAATGTATCCATGCATAAGATGTGCCAAAATACTATACTTGCTCAATTACCATGGATGTTTGTTTTCCTCAGGTAAAAAAAAACATTGCTCAAATTATGGAATTTTGGTGTACTTGATACTGAAATCACAGGATCAATTTTCCAAAAAATATTGGACAAATGCAACTTTAGACATTTTCAGACACAAATGTAATTAATTGCGTTCTCCTTGGCTTTTTTCACATTTACAACTTATTGTAACTGATTGAAAATTGAATTTTTCATCTTAGTGTAGATTTTTTTATTGAATTCATTGATTGGTTTTTACTGAGAGCTTTACTTTATCATAAGGCAGAAGGGACTCCAACAAAATTTGACTCAGAAAGTTTTTGACTTGGAGAAGTTGGCTTTATTTGGTTAGTTTAATCAATGGAAATTATTTTCTGGTCAAATTATTCAAACTGTTCATTGTTTGTAGATGTGATACATGAAGATTTTAATCAGATTTAGTCTTTCTAAAATCCCAGCACTAAGGATTTTAGACAGACTAAAATCCTTTGTGCTGGGGAACAAAAGTGTTAGCAGACTTTTTTTCATTAAACAATTAGCCTAACTCTGATGACAAAGAAGGAAATTTGACCCAAAAAAAGGTTGAGATGCTCAAATTGTATTGCATTGGACTCATGAGAATCGGCAAAGGATTATTCAGAAATTCGAATGAGGGAGGTTTTTGACTCGAGGGAGTTCAAATTTGCAATATCAAACTGTATCTTTCGAAATGAAGTTGAAAAAAATACGAGGAATGCATACTTGACTAACGATCTTCAATTTTTTTGCAGGAAATATCACATGCAGAGGCCCCGGCGTCCGAATAAGCCGCATAAGAAACCAAGCTCGGGAAAAATCGATTTCAAGAAGGACAGTCTACCAGACATTGCCAAATACGCCGTGAACAAAATGGCGACGAAGCAAAGACGCAAACTCGTGGGATTCGTCGGCAGAACCAGAGGCCCGTCATCCAGCAAAAAATTGGCAGAGCTCATGTCATCCATGATGGCGGGCCCCGAAAGGTACAGGCATAATAATGACGATAATCATCATGAAACTACGGCACGGGATCGCGTTGGATCGGGCAGAGACGACCTCAGGGTAAGTTCTTCATTTTCTTCGCACATAAAAAAAAAAATTGACAGCTTTTCCATCATACACTGACCCGAAAAAAACACAACTTATTCCCCAAACCACATACCGCACCCACCGATTGACCGGGATCCGACGCTTTCGCCAAAAAAAAAAGGATGCTCCTTCTGTTGGCGACCAAATGGTAATTTAGCCAAATTGCGCACCGGCCAAAAATAAAACATTTCTAAGAGAAATATTTAAAGACAATTTTGCTTTATTTTTTGCCGACCCGTTTTTTTTTTCTGTGGCTGAAAGATTCCATTTCTCAAAGCACACCTTCACAATATCACTGATTATTCAAATTATGCACGCCTCTTCAGAAGCACCATTATAACACTCAAATGGACCAACAAAGGGATCATCTGCATGTCACTGAAGACGTACACCACTTGTATTCTTTGATGATGCACGGCATACCAGAAACAACACCATCCATTTCAGTAAGGCGCATGTGTTTTTTGTTTTACATGGGGTTTCAGGGGTAAGAAAATGGGACTCCGGTTAAGACAGTGTTTCCCAACCTTTTTTTTTTTGGCTGACAGACCTGAAAATTTCCATGAAATTTCTAAGAACTCAAAAGAGTTTTGTTTGAAAAGCTTGATGGCAAAATTTTCTGCTTTTTTGAAAAAATTAAGTCAAGAACTATAATGAAGCAGCTGGAGTGGAATGTCTTTTTAAAAAATCTGAAAAGTGCATGGGCTTGAATAAGGAGGTTTCTCAGAATGAAAAATTAGAATAAGTTGAATCAGCTGGTGAAAATTTGTGTGAAGCGTTATGAGGAGAAAAGCCAATTTTTATTTTTCATCAGATAATTCCAACTGCCATTTTGTCTGTCCAAACTTTCAAATAAAGATAACAGACTTCATTGCTACTTTTGATAAATTTATTATCCTGAGGAAAATTTCCTGCAGACCTGCAAAAAGACTTCTTTGGACAGGTGCAGGTCCACAGACTAAGGGTTCAGGCACAATGAGTTAAGACTACATTACACTTTGAAAATCTCATCTGAACTAACCATTTCCCTTTGACATGGTTTCTGGTTGCAATTCTCAAAAATTCCAAATGATTTAAGGCTGATTATGTTAAAGCTACAATTAATTCAATAGTTGTCCAGAAATATACTGCAAGCCCTTCAGGAGATATAGATGAAGAAAGGAACAGCACTTAATTCAATTAACTTGAAATATCTATGAACTAACCATTTTCTTCAAATGTTTTTTTTTTTGCAATTCCCAAAACAAAAATTCAAATGTCTCCAGATTCTTATGGTAGGGCTTCAGTGAATGTAATGGTTGTCTGGAAGTTTACTGTCCATCCTTTAGGATATGTGAAAGATGGACTTTTACTCTTATTGTCCTTAACCCTTGGGCGACAGTGCTAGGATTTATCTGCAAAATGTTGTGCCCCAAGGAGTAGAAAAAAATGGAGAACAAAAATGGTTAGAAGAGCCAAACTTGGGAAAAATTCCAAATTTGTTTTGCATTCCTGCAGAAAAATTTGCAAGGAAAAAAGTTACTGTTGGGTGGCTTTTTTCTGCATTCCTGCCATAGGATTAGCATTGGGGGATTAGCCGAACAATGGATTTTTTTTTTGGGATTTTTCCCAACTTTGGCCACTCAGCCAATCTGCTTTTGGACGTGACCTTTGGTCAAACCAAAATACAGGAGCGTGCAAAAAAATTCCGGAACTGCCATGTGATGAAAAAGAACCCACCACTGCCCAAGGGTAAAATTATGCACTATAAACCCTCAAACTTAGTCATCATTTCTTTGGGTACATTTTTTCTTCAATTTATGCTGGCAGGTGACAAACTGCATTTTGGATGCCCCAATTAATTCACCTTTTTTTTTCAAAGAAACCCCACTGAAACACTCTTTATATTGACTATGGTTTCATTTTGAATACTTTTCATCACAACCTCTTCTGCACAAAAATGTCTGAATAAGGATTTATGGCTTTAGCCCATAATACATATACACAATATTGTGTATAGAGGAATAGAAAACATGAATCTGTAGAATTTAAAAAATGCGTTTCCAAAGAAAAAAGTATTGGCTAGCAAATAAACCATGAAAAAATTTCAGACACTTCACTGAATATGAGCCTCAACCAAAGACATTTTAATCCATTATACATTGGCCCCCCGCCTAACAAACCTCCCGTGTAAGGGATTTTTGCTGAACAGACTTGATTCATGCAAGGGACAAGTCTGTTAGATGAAAAGTCCTTTACACAAATTCAATTACATAAAAAATTAAAAATTTTAATTTTCAACACTAANTTCTATTCCTGTCTCGGAACAGGAAACGGAAAACCGGTGGAATAAGTACCGAAGTCAGTCCTACAACCGGAAACAAAAGTCCAGGACTAATAAGGACAGGCTGACGAACAAAAGACCAACAGGAAGAATGGAATCTGCTGGTCATCACAGCAGCAATAATAATAACATGGATGGTGGTGGTCGTGAATATCCGAATCATTATCGAGAGGATGATGCCAGAGGACCTCCGGACCACAATCACGAAATGCCCGAAAGAATGGACTATGAAAATCTTCGGTCCAATTCAGATTTCAGTCATTCAGGCGGGAATAATAATAAAGGGAGACCACGTGGACCTGGACCCACTGGATACCGTGGAGACGACTACGGAAGACGATCGTCTTCGTAGTTTTCAGGAACTGACCAGAATCTGCAACCTTTCCGCTTTGGAAATATAAAAAAATAAATATTTCAAGACATGCGAAGATGAAAAAATAAATTTTTCTTGAAACAAAAATCTAAAATCCTGGAATAATCGTGGACCTACAGGACAAATTGGCGATTTTATTTCAAGCACACGCAAAAGTTCTGCCAAGTTTTCAGGAACCAAGGATTCTGCCGACCTCATCTACTTTTTTGAAATATCAAAATATTTTGCGACATTAAAAATTGAGTAAAAATAATTTGTTTCGAGTTGGAAAAGCTGAAAACCTGCAGCCTAAGAGGAATTTCGCAATTTCAATAAAGCATTTATTCAGTTCTGCCAAGTTTTCGGGAATCCAAAAATCCTGGCTAACTTTTTTTTTCTTCTTTCCAAAAAAAATTTACATATATATTTCGAGGCATGCAGAACAGAATAATTTTTCTAGAGGTGGAACATCTAAAATCCTTAAATATAAGCTCGGTCCAAGAAGAATTTGAAGATTTTCTTCAAGCACACTCAGAATCAGAACTTGAGCAAAGTTTTTCGAAATGCAAGATTCTGTCGAACTCATTTGAAAATTCAAAATATTTTATGATATATAGAACTGAATAAAAATCAATTTTTTTCAAGATGTAAAATATGAAACCATGGAATGAGCGAGTCTCAAGGAGAATTTCGCGATTTCATTCAATCATATTCAGAAGTTCTGCCACGTTTTCAGGAATCCAAGATTCTGCCAAACTCTTCTCTGAAAAATCAAAGTATTTTGAGACGTTCAAATCTAAGTAAAAACAACTTTTTCTCAAAATGCTCTAAAGTCTAAACTAATCAAAATATAAAAAGAATAGAATTTTACAGGCCCACACAAAAGAAAAGAAAAACCGGCGGATTCTCTTGAACCACAGTAAAAATTTGAGACAATTTTTGTTTCAATTCCTTGCAACTAAAAAAAATAACCGGACTCTCAAAGCTTCTATGCTTCGCTTTTAAAATCTGTCGGCACAAATTTATTCATGACACATTCTTTAGGGGGAAATCATGCATAATTTTCCTCACAAAATAACTCCAGTACACTCCAAAAATAAATTAAACATTCAATTTATAGCGTCTTTCCTCAAAGGACGAAGGCAACACTTCGAAATTACTGAGTAAAGCAACATGCTGTGAGGTACTGTGCAAAATAAATATCAATATTCAAGGGGAATCTTTAATAACCAAATTGCATGGATGTTCTTATCGTGTTCAATACTGGCGAGGAAAGGAATAATTGAAACCCTATACATGCTGGGATCATTCATCAGGTTCTATCGAATCCAAAATATTCTCGTGAAAAGAAACGTGGCGAAAGAAAAAATATAACGAAGGCCTTTCATTGAAATTGGCGAGCTAATACAGGATGCACCGAGAACATTATCATTACCTTATGGCTGCTTTTCCCGTATGTTCCTCCATAAGTTTCATCAATTTCAGAAATTTTGTTTTTCCATTTGATATGTACCCGAAAACACGGAATAAATGGTAATGATGTCCAGTTACTTCATGAGCACTTGATGACCTTAAATTATTGTCTGGTAGCTGGGACTTGAATCCGGAAATAAGCTTCTGTACCACGAATAACAGTACTTGAATCCTCTCCTTTCTTTCGGATTAAAACTCAAACACTCAGACTGCAGTACAGTATTTTTAATATACAGTATTTCTCTCTATATGATTTGAATGTTTTTTTTTTACAGATCCCAACATTTAAATGTACTGTACAGCATTCAATGCTCCAAATAAAGTTCTTATTGAGTTCATCAATTTCAATTGGCAGACAATTTTTTCATGGAATTCTGATGAATATTTCCTCCATAAAACACCAATTAAAATAATGTAATGCAAGTCTATGGGAAAATGAGACTCGACTTAGGGAAATTTCAACTTCAGGACACTTTTTATGCACAA